CCCGCCGCCCTCGCTACCCCCGCTGCCCCCTCAGCCGGACACGCGCGCGCGCAACCGGATCGTATCGCCGACTCCACTCACTCAAGAGACTCTCTCACGCAGAGAGACGCGTCCCTCTTGGCCCGATTAGACAAAAAGACAGGAGAGACAGAGGGAGGAGTAGCAGGATAGAAAGAGGGAGAGAACGATGGAGAGAGTGAGAGCGGGGTGCCTACCCCTGCCTGTGTGCCTTTGCACGCCCTCTCCACCCCACTACGCGGCCGCCGCCGCCGAGACCCTTTGTCCGCTAAGGCTGAAATGATGGGCGCCGACGACATGAAAAGTTAGCGCCCGCCGGGCTGACGCGGGCTGACGGCGGCCACGGCGCGGAGACCTTGACCTTACTTCACTGGCCAGGATCAAAAGCGCGTGTACATTGGGGGGAGAAAATTGATGCGAGGTGAACTAATTGAAGGGGCCTCCGGGTCCTGGGCGGCGGGCCGGGCGCCGGTCGGCCCACTGAAGCGCACTCATTATCTTGTTGATTGGTCCCCGGCGGCCGGGTGAACCACATCGGGGACACCGGGGCAGGGGGGAACAGCACACGGGCTCGGGCGGCACCGTAAGGCACCGTCAAACCCACGACACTGATCGCCGAGCGCCGAACACGTTCCTCACCGTTGCGACATTGTCTCCGTGCAGCTCCCCGATGGACGGGCGCTTCCGCCGGCCGCCGCCGAGCCGGTACAGGTCGAGTGACGGCAGCACCTCGCCGAGGGCGGCGAAGGACATGCGCCTCTTCCACGTGCTCGACATCCTCCGGGAGGCGCGCCGCGCGCCGTAGTGGTGGCCGTCCTGGTGGTTGCCGCTCTCCGGGGGCGGCAGGTTGAACGTCGCGGTGCTCTTCTTGCGCGTCCTCCCGCCGCCGCCGCCGTCCTGGTGCGAGCGCATGATGCCGGCCGGGGCGGCGGCGTCGCCCTCCGCGCCGTCGAAAGACGTGTTGTTCATGACGAGGACGTCGGCGTGCGACTAGCGTGCGGCTACTCGCCGGCTCGGCTTCGGCCCTACCCTACCCGGCCTCGCCGCCGCGCCCCGTCCCCCCGCCCGCCCGCTCCACACACTGCCCCGCGCCGCGCGCTGGCGAGGGCCGCGGCGCCCCGCCAGGCCCCGCGAGGCACAACAACCTCCTCCCCCTAACGGCCTGTTCGTCTGCGCGGCCGCGGGGTGGGGCGGGGCGTGGCGGGCATGGCGGGGCGTGGACGGCCAGCGGCCGGCGTCACCGCGGGGTGAGGCGCGGAGGGGCGGGGTGTCCGGGCGACTGATTAACACGGCTGGGGCGTGGAGGGGTGTGGCGCGAGAGGAGAGGACCCTCGCAGCCCCCACCCCCCGCTCGGGGTTGGGCGGCGAGCTCCTTACCCCCGGTAAGGGGTAGGTCCAGAAGGACGAGCCCCTGTGAAAGGGATATGGACTGGGGCCGCGTGGACTGCTCTTATTTCGGGGAACGCCCCTCAAGGAGTCGTGCACCCCACCCCGACCCGCGAGCGATATCCACCCACCCCACCCTCATACCGCGCCTTTGCTGACGTCAGACGTGTCACCTCAGCCCCTCAGGGCGTCGCTACGATGCGAGGGCGACGACGGGGAGGGTGCGTTGGGGAAAGAAGGGCGTGTGTATCCAGATTGGGTGAGCAGGACTACGCGCGTTCACGGACGGTGCGGAGTTAGCCCAACATTAGCATCGGCCGCCAACAACAACAAAAAAAGGCCCTTTCGATGCGGCATTCAACGGATTAGGACCCCGTCCCGTACACACAACTGTTTCGTCACTGGCCCGACCGAACGTATCTCGTTACACTTCCAAATTATAATTCAAAAAGTGTGTGTGTGTGTGTGTGTGTGTGTGTGTGTGTGTGTCTGTGTGAATAAAACCGCCGCCACTCGTGGTAAATCACCCCTGAGGGAAGAGCAGAAGGGTGCAAACAACCACTTGTGCAGTTCAGGAAACAGGAAATGCCTCCACTGACAAGCTAGCTATGCTTTAGCCCCCCAGCTTCTTTATCCGGACCGGACCGGTTCCGCCCCCCCCCCCCTTTCCCCCTCTCCCTCGTCAGTACTTCCCCCGCTGCTGCCCGTCTGTTTTGATCTCACGGCCCCTCGGCCGCACAGGAATACACAACACGATGCTGAAACTGTTTCGTGATGGCACATCAAATGCTCAATAAGTGCCTCCGCTGTCCGAGGCCCCACCCCACCCCCGCAGAGGGCGGGGGGTTTCCCCGCCCCCTGCGCCTACTGAGGGTCCTGGGCGCGAGCAGATGGGACTGGATTCGACTGCATCAGAGGCAGAGGCGCCACCCGACCTCGCCTAAGGAAGCCATCTGCGTGTCTTATGCTGGGTCGGCCGGGCCCCGGCCGGGCCCAGCCCGCGACCACCAAAGGCGCTCCGCGCTGCGCAGGGACGATCAATCAATAAAATCCTCATCACTTTGAATGATCTCGTTTTGGCGCCATGTCGTCGCTCTGCGTGCTGCGGAGCCTGTGTGTCGGCCGGCAGTGTGAACATGGATCGCTATCGCGCCCGGGCCCGCCGCCCAGCCCCGGCCGCCCGGTGCGGCACGCGCAGCCATGGCGCAGTCGCGGCTCTCTGACCGGCCCAGTTTACGGACAGGAGGCGGGTGCGGCTCGGCCGGCCGCGGGCCGCGCTTCAGGTGTGTTATGGGATGAGTCCGGTTCGGTTTTGGGAAGGACGCGGTGGAGTCGTCCTTCGCTCGTGGCGCGGCGCAGCGCGGTGACACTATCAGTGTCGAGGAAACACGACGCGACAAGGCCTCCTCTTCATTACCAAGCCTTCTGACCGTCTTCTGGGCCGACCTGACCCGGCGGCCACCCGTCCTTCGAACGCCCGCCCCGCCTTTGGTTCAGTTAGGCGCCTTTCTGGCTCGTTCCAGTTCAGTTTCATTACGCTTGGCAGTGATGATGTCGCGCTGCCAGACTGCCCTGCCCAGTCCTACCCCTACCCTACCCTACCACCCTACCCATACCCTATACCCTATACCCTACCCTCCTACCCTACCCTATATCCTACCCTATATCCTACCTTTACCCTACCCTACCCATACCGCTACCCTACGCTATCCCTACCCTACCGTCCAACCCTACCCTGCCCTGCCCTACCCTGCCCAACCCTACCCCCCACTCGGGGTGGGGTAGATACCTCCTTACCGACCTCCCGACTTCCCTGGACGGGGCCGGTTGCAAACCGCGGCGCATTGAACCCCTGGTGCTTTGGATGGACTCGGTCGGATCCCGGTTCCCCCCGAGGGGGAAACGACTAAGGTAATCCGGCTGGCAGCCGTTAGGTAATCCAGCAGGTGTAATCCGAGGAAATTCGAAGTAATCCGGGGGTAATCCAGGGATAATCCGAGAGAAAAATCAGCGTAATCCGGAGGATAGTCTAGAGGTAGTCCGGGTAGGGGTAATCCGTAATCCGGCTGACACAGAGTTATTTAACAGTAGTTTCCCCCTCGGTTCCCCCTCTAACCCCTCGGTACCGACTTTTTTTTTAACACAAAACACTGAGCGCCTCGCCGCGCTGTTGCCGGGGGTGCGGAGCGGGGATGGGCCCCGGGGCCCGGGGCCCGGGGCCCGGCAGCATGGCGACCAACTGCGCGCCGCTTTGCTTTACGCCATCAACGCCGTGTTTGTTTCGTTAATCCATCCCCTGATGGAGAGCTCCCCCCTCTGTCTCTGTCTGCTCTCTCCGTCTCTCTGTGTGTCTCTCTCACTGACTGTCTCTCTCTGTCTCTCCCCCTCCCCCCTCTCTCCCCCCTCTCTCTGTCTCTCTCTCTCTCTCTCTCGTTTCATATTAAGAGGGAGGGTCCGCGACGTCAACGTTGGCGGACGCAGTGACTATTGTGTTGTCCCGAAGGGGCGGGACGCGCTGTCTACCACGTCTCCATTTGACCGCCGGTTTTAACACGGGAAAAAGGAGCGGGGTCGCTCCAATGAAGGAGTGAAGTTTTGCCTTGGTAGGAGTCCTGGTCGTGTTCACGCGATCTCCGTAGGCCGGCTCTAGGCCTCTCCACTCTTTAAGCCGTCTCTTTACACCTTCATGGCCTGACCCACGTGATCCACTTTAAGTAGCCAATACAAATACGCAAAGGTTGACCGTTATATATTGTTTAAAAGTTGTCTAAATCGAACTCCCTATTCCATGATCAATCATATCACCTAGTGTCGAAGACTCGGTCGAACGTAAGACGCCATTTTGGATGGGGCGGGCGGTGGTATTGCAGTTACAGACAGAGCTTCATCGACCTGGTTGGTGAAGCGCCTTACGAGATCCGGTAGGCAACCCGCACGCTCGCTTGCATGGCAGTACAGTATCACCATGAGAATACAACCTTCGACGCTTCGCGCTTCGCCCGTTCGCCGACGTCGCCGCTGCCTGCTGCTCGTCGCGCACGCATGATGGGGAATCGAGCAGCATGTGTCTTCCTCGCGGTCCCGAGAAGCCAGCAGCTGATGAGCGGCCATTTGGTCATCGCTCGTATTCCCGCGCCGCTTGCGTCCGCCCCCAAGCCACGCCACGCCACGCCACGCCGCGCCGGCGGGAGCCTGGGCGCTGCCTGGCGTTGCTGCATGACAATGGCGTGGCGTGGCCCTTGGCGCCCCCGCCTCCTTGCTCGTCATTCGGGTACTACTCTGTCTTCTCATTCTGTCTGGCCGTCTTTGGGTCCTGATCCGGAGTGGACCGGAGCGAGCTGGCTCGGGCCAGCCCGGCCAGCTCACACACTGCCCGCCACTCGGACTTCCAGGTGAGGTGGCATTGACCTTGCCCAGCCTTGCGGTCCAGCAGTTAGTAGTGCCCTGACCCGCCTCAACGACGCTGTAGTGCGGGGCCGGCCGGCCGGGTAGAGGAGGGGCCGGGGTGCGAACACAGGGCGCGCACGCTGTACCGCGCTGCGCTGCGTAGCGGAAATGGTCAAAAGTCAAATATGTATGTAGTTTCCCCTTAGTGCTTATTTTTAAAAGACAAATTCCGACAAAATATTCGAATTTAACGTGTGGACTCAACAATCGTACGGGTAATGATGCACGAGCATCATGACAAAGTGCACAGTGGCTGGAACACAGAAAACACGATACTTTTCTGTGCGAGACTTTTTAAAATGACGTCCGACGCTTTTATTCGTTGGGTATGCAAATGAATGTCTCGGGGACTTCCCCGGGCGATGATCTGTTGTGGGCCCTGCTGGGGGCCTCGCAACATCGCACAGTCCTCGAGGCAAGCCGGCCCACGACTTCCTGCAAGAGTCGACCCAGAGCGCTTTTCAAAACTGAGCCGATTAACCTTTTTACACCATCATAACTTTGGCAACACGCGAAAACCAGTGTCATAAATGAACCAGATAAACTATTCCAAAACTGTTCAAAATTAGGATGAAAATAACGTATTCAGGTGCGTCAAAGTTGTTCCGGCAACTTCTCTCCCCCTGAGCCGCGGGGGCGGGGGCGGGGCGGTGGGGCGTATCCCCGTCGGGCGCAGCCGCTCTGGCTCGAGGCTCGGCGCGAGGACACTGGCGCAACCAGGCGGCGGGCGGAAGAACTAGACTCCAACACACGGCGGCGCGAGCGGCGCGCCAAATCCGAACAAAAGATTACAAACTGCCTCTCCGCTTAGCTCGCGTGATAATTGTTTCGCGTGCGTCTGACTGCGAGGTGAGGTGGTGTGAACACGTGTCGTGGCTGGCGTGGCCGGGCGGGGCGTGGAGGGGGCGTGGAGGTGGCG